ATATTATTATTATTATTATTATTATTATTATTATTATTATTATTATTATTATTATTATTATTATTATTATTATTATTATTATTATTATTAGTTATCATTATTAACATTATTATTATTAATTATTGCAATTATTATTATTTATTACTATTGTTAAATTATTTCTTACCAGCGTATTAAAGGAGTAAATAAACGGGTTATTCAGCGAATGAACAATTAAATGAGTAAGATTTTACCGTTGTGTACCAAACTCACCTTTCTTTTAGTACTGCATCATTTCTTATTGGATGATTTATTATTGTAAAGGTCTTTTATTTTTTTTAACTGATTAATTTACTTGTCCAAAAAATAAATAGTTTCTGGAAATACGAAAGTGATTCAAGAATTAAAAGACGAAGTACAACTGTTCATTATTTTTCTTCCAATCTGTTCCTTTCATGAACTTCGAAATTTCAAAACTGTTTTGTAATTCTTTTTCCTACATTTTTTAGCCTTTATTAACATGATAGTTATTCGTATGAGATTTGACTTGGTTAATCTTAGTACAAATAATAATGATTAAGCAGAGGCGAGTCATGGAATTACATCCCCAAAAGCCTCAAGCTGGTCAAAAACATATTACAACATTTGAACGGCTATCCAATAATGGAATCTTAGTCATGTTATCGCTAGTACAGAACGACTTCCATCACTGTATTAAGGGAACTGCTGTACCGTAGTCGTTAGTCGCAATTGGTAACAACACTTAAATTAGGCTGCTTGTAGTAATGGATTCCCATTATGGATTTAATGATGAAATCTTAATTTTGGATTCTTGATTTTTTAATTTTGCTCTGTTTTTTGCTACTAACCTTTTATTTACTGTGAAAAAGCTTTTTTAACTTGAAATTCTTGTAGTGCGGTTTCTCATGGAGTTGGAGTCATAATGCATTTCAATTATTTAACTAATCAGAGTACAATTCTGAATTACTTTTGCTTTGTATTAAATTCTGATAAAGGATCGAAAAGGATGCAGTGGCACGAAGTCTGTCTTTTGATGGTACCTATACGGCAACCAAAAAGTATTTTGAGCGAGGCTCAGATTTGAACAGTACACCGATAATAGCACAAGAAATGAATGATAAAACTCCAGTTCTTATAAGTAGCGAACACATAGACTTCAGTCTGAGGTCTGTTTAAAGATTTTTTTCCAATTAAATTGATCTAGATTTAGGATTTTACCTGGTTCGTTGTTTAGCTATATCTAGTTCAACCTAATTTCAAGATAATTCAACTTTTCAAGGGAAGGAGGCGAGTAATTCCTTTCATTCAGTATTCGTTCATGGAGTCCTTCGAAAAAATTTATCTATAAAAAGTTTGATTGTAGGCAGTTGCCGGGAAAAAACAGCAGCATCAGCTCCGAGCTAGTTAACAAGAAAGAAGTACCCTTTGGCGAAGCTGCGTCCACTGTAAGCTATCTCATACCATAATGTACAAAGCTACTTATCATTTATGAGGGAAATCACGAGAATTTTCCTTTCAAAACATGCATTAAACTGCGGTACTGGCTTTACTAGCCGCCGTGCAACCACGCATTAGAAATTAGTAAGAAGAAATAGCCCACTGGGAAGCTTCAACAAATATTTTCCAGGAGCTTGAGAATTATGTTGATGCGGATAAGTTGCAAGAAGTCAATACTTTACGTAATATTAACAAGATTGTAAGTTTCCATTCATAATTCTATTTTATTGATCAGCCACGTTGAAGTTACGGTTTATGTTTTACCATCTTTCATAGACATTTTCTTTTCTATTTTATTCAACGCGTTATGTGTTTTTGTATTAAGATGAATCATGAATGCTTCATGAAACACGATAAGTCCCAAAAGTATAAGATTATTAGCGCTTATCTGGACTAATTTTACGTACTTTTTAGCACTGATTCAAAGTTGATACTTTCTAATACTTTAAAAGTTGAAATTGCCTTCACGAAGTAAGCATTCTGTGGAGAAGAAAATCAGAAGGTCGGAAAGTAAAAACAGAAAATAAAAATTGTTTTTTGTTACTGAATGATCCTTATGTTGTAGCAAATTTTCAGCTAGCAACAAAACTGGCTAAAGCAGAACGAATAGCACAGTTTCTTCAAATACAACTCAAATTTTACGACAAAACAAATGATGCTAAATTTGCATGCAGGTTAACTGGTAAGGTTGTTGTTTACTCCACTGTTTTCATAATTTATTTAAACACTGTAAGAGGATGAATTGTTGCTTTGTTAAGCTTAGTTTAAGTTTTTGTTTCTTTGTTAAGTTTACTATCAGGGTTGACTTTTTATTAAAATCTAATTCTGTTTCGAAGTTCATTTTGAACTTTTGTTGTGTTTTATACTTAGTGCATTAGCACTAAGCAAACTGAGTAAATACCATTGCTTTGTTGTTAACAATCTCTGTTATAGATATCATCGATCAGCTGAAAGTACTACTTCCCAATGATCGATTTCGTGATGAAGCTCTAAAGGTTAATGCTGTTTTCCAGAAGTCCTTCCATTTACAGAGTATCACTAAATTTGAAAAAATCGCTCGCTGCTTATATGGTAACACGATTAGCTTTGTACTTGTAATGCTTCTTTTTAGGTTTTAAATTCTGCGAATCCATCCATAGACGTTAACGACGAAAAATTTGCTTTTTTGAATAGTTTGTTGGAAGAAATTGAATGCGATAAAACAGTACTTTCAAATTCCGGAACTCTGCGCAAATACTGTGAACGATTAGTTGAATATGCTCGTAAACATCCACCAGTTCTTATGGAACTGCAGAATCAGATAAATGAAGTAAGAATTTGTTTATTGAGTTAACTTTTTACCCATGCTTTCAGATGTCCCCTTTTTAAGAATTGTTTGGCTTCCTCACTACCTATTTTAGGAGAAAAACAATGCTGAGATAATAGGTTTAAGTTCCCATAACCGATGTAAACCTTTCTAATATGTTTTGTAGTAGCAAATTGGTTTTATATCGTATTAAAATTATTCTACTGAAAAGGAAAACTTTAGTTTTGGATTACTTGTTGAAAGCTCTATTCACTAACTTAAGTAAAGCTGGTCCAATTAAAGAAAGGAATCTCTTAATTCATTGAACAGCTCTTATAACAATAAGTATTGAAATGTTACTTGGTTCAACAGTATATCATTCTTCATGGGCCATATACTGTAATGCTGATATTGGTAGCATCGAAACAAAGAAAAATCTAATCAACTAATTTCATTTTGATTGTCTTCGATGAAAGGCTGTTGCTGTTGTTGTCATCTAATCAGATTAACAGAGAGAAGGTGCGGCAAATTCTTTCATTGGACATATACCGGTTTAACAGTCTTCCTGTGCAACAAAATTTATATCAGTCACCCTGAAGGTTTAAAAAATCTTTTCGCTTTGTCCGGCACAGTGGGTGAGAGAGCAGATGAGATGATTTCTCTCTCAATACATGACAGCAAAAATGTTTCTACATTTCTGTTTACGATGCTTTCAGTTTGTGGAAGGTCCAGATTTTCATCTGGTAACACTGTGGTAGTCTTATCTCAATGCTCTCTGGTGTTCGTTTGAGTGTTGAAAAATTTTTCCTGTCATAGGTAGGAAGAGTCACCGTGAAAAAAATTAAAACCAGTCTAGGCCAGCTAAGTTTTCCACTTTTCGTTTAGATATTTGTTCCTATGCTTGCTCAATCTGCATCTGAGATATTAGCGGCAATTGTGAATATCTTTATCTATGTTTCATTTTTGTATTACCAAACAAATTTTCTATATTCGAATGTTAGGAATCTCATTTTCCACTTGCTTTTTCACACGACCATTATACTACTTACGTATGGTACTTATTGCTGAATCTTTCTTTTTTTTTGTATATGAAATAGCCATCTCTTCTGGTCGTGAATGACGATTACCGTAACCACCATTAGTTCTTTCTCATTACTGAAAATAACAAAAATTATTCTAGAAGAAGGACTAGTTGTCTCCGTTATGATGCAGACACATGAGATACACATAATGCATGTGCTTTTTAAAATATTAGATTCTTTAAGCAGAGCGTAAAATCTTACTGATTTTTTGCGGACAAGTTAGTCAAATATTCTAATTTTTAGCTTACACTTGTTTCCTTTATCCATATGTTCATCTCACAATTGTTTCACTGATGTAATCGATTTTCTTCAAAAATCATGTCTTTAACCCTCTCTGCATGCTTCCGCAAAACTGTCAGAGAAAGTTTCTAAATTTATGTTGTTCAATCAGAAGAAAATTGAGAGAATGCAATTTTTGCTTTCTTTGTCACATTATCTGTATGTTTACTAATTCGTGAAAAGTGGCATCCGCCGGTTTAGTTGCTGCCTTTTCTCTATTTACCAAATTGTTTATGAAAAACAGATTTTATTGCCTCCTTTAAATTGTTCTATCATAATGATTTCACTTTCAGAGTTTTTTAAAACTGCTATAATCACAGGATTGGCGTGTTAACTGATTTTTTTAGAACTATGTAAGTTTAACAGTGACGATGAATGAACTGATATCGTTCTATTTTTTCAATGTTAGTGAGTACTCTACCCTCACATTATCCCGCTATTGAACATAGCAAATTCAAACGCGAAGTGAGATTTGTCACCTGTAACATCATTAAAAGCTAGTAGACCTATCTAGATCTATCCGGCGATTAATCAAAATGTTGCTTATAAAGAAGAATGAGGTTAAACAATCGTTGTGTTGGTAGTTTAAAACTAATATCTGCCTAGTTATATGCAGAGCAGAATGTGTAAGAGATATAGGTGAAAGAAATGCGGTAAATTGATTAATGTTATTATTAGAATGAGACGCAGCTGAACATCAGTTACTATACTCATCAATCGATTTATTTTCGGTGGAATTTCCGAATCTCAGAATAGTCGTACAGTGTTAAAAAGTTCTTGCAATATCGATAAACATAACTGCACCATTCCACTAAAGTAGTCTTTTTGGATGCTGATTGAAATCAGTTGTTTAGATCAATTCTGATCAGCTGGAGATATGGGCAAGTTGAAAGATCGGAGTAAAGTTGGTATACAAATGCAACTTCCTACGTTTAAAATTCATTTGAGAACAACTATCAGGTTATTCCTACTAAGTTAGTTTACTGTAGGATGAATCCGATGAAGTGAATCTTGTCTTTTTTTTTGCATCTTTTTTTTAAGGATCATCTAAATGATTCCTTTTACTAGTTCAATGCTGACTCACTCCCAATTAAGATTTTATATTAACAATGCTATTTATCATCGAAATTTTTGGAACCGATTAAAAATCTCGTTTATATAACCATTGCTTTTCACACCATTTAAAATCGTTAACAAGTACACACATATAATGTCACTTACAGTTATTGTTTAATACAGTTTATTTTTGTTTAGTTTCCGCATTATTTTGTGATTGCTAACTGCGCTTGTACAAAGATATTTTGAAAATTATCATACCTGTGCAATATTATATCTCCCTTCATCGTACTTCTCATATTAATTTGTTGAATTTTATTATATGAGATAATTGTTTTTGCGTTCAAATTCAATTAAAAAATACTGTAGATTTCTTTTTAAAATAGACTCAGAAGTTTAACTTCCAGAATTCTATTTTTACTACATTTGTTTCATTCCCCCAACGTTTGGACTTTTCAGCACGATTTTTTTTCTACTTTAGAAATAATTCACAACACTCGTTCAGTTTTTTTTGAATATATATATATATATATATATATATATATATATATATATATATATATATATATATATATATATATATATATAT